AGAGAGAAAGAGAGAGAGAAAGAAAGAAAGAGAGAGAGAGAGAGAGAGAGAGAGAGAGAGAGAGAGATATCCTCTTATCGAAAGCAATAACAAGATATAACGTATCGGTAAAAAATAAAATCTCATTTCAAGGTATCAACAGGTATAGATTTGGGCTCTTATCCCTCATCATGACCTTCGTGAAAGAAAAATACTTCCTGCCGCGACAACGTGGAGGACGATGATTTGAGAATTTAACTTTTTAAACAAAGAAAACATGTTCATCTTTCCGAAAACTCAATAATTTTTTTTCCACTAATTCACTAACAAGTTCCGTAGCTCCGTCAAAATTTTCGAATTTAGGTATAAGTTAGTCTTTAATTAGAACAAATTTCTGGGATACAGTTTTTCAATATTGTGATAAGTGGGAATGCTAACTTTATGGACATCGCATACCATCTGGTCCGAACGACATGAATCGCTGGTGTCTTCCCGTGATATAGGGACACTATATATAGTATGCATAGTATTTGTACATATACTACATAGTATTTGATCTTACCCCGCACAGAGGGCTCGGTGTAAGAAATCCACCTTTTTTCTTACGCTGTCACTGTGGGTCTTTTATTTCTACCATGGTGGATTTCTTACAGGATTTCGTACACCGAGGTTTTCACCGGCCGAGCGACCGAAGAATGGTTCCGTCCGGAAGCGTTCGCTCGCGTACTGTAAATGCACCGTTACATTCTGCTCACTGGGAGGACTTTGTTGAGCAACAGGTGGAAACACGGTGTAGGTCAGAGTACGTACCAGTACGTACGGTACGATATATACTCTCTGTACGGTACGTGCGGTGAACGTTTGTACATCATGAAATTGATTCTTGTGCTCTCTTTGATTCAGTTCTGCGACTAGTTCGTTCAAGAACGATGCATGAGAGTCGGTCACTGTGGAGTCGATATGCATTCGGTCAGTTAGCGAGCGGGACTACGAGCGGTGTGCAAGACAGAATACAAACTGCATTGTTGATGACTCATTGCAGATTGAAAAGACGCTGAGATATTACCATTATGCAAGAAATATTTCTTACAGGACACAGAGAGCCATCTGCAGATTTGACAACGACGCAAGACCGACCAGTAATTAGCCCAGGTGTATATGGTAAAATGCATGGGTTATTTACACCATGGAAGTGACGGAAGGGAAGTAAGGTATATGGTAAGAAATGTCCTCATTTTTATTGTAGTTAAGGTTCTCAGATGTCTGTTCAGAAAATAGAAAGCGGGTAAGGTACTGCAAATAAAATATTTTAATAATCATAACCATCACAGTCTTCAGTATTGCAATAACGATCGTATTAAATCTCTAGCACAGTTTGTGAAGCAAGTTCTGTTGCAAAGGAGCAAAAATCCTTTTCTATCAAATGTCTACAATACAATCTCTTACCTTTTTGCTTCAACTAACATTCCAAAAATGTGCATGTATATAAACAATTATTAAAGTTTCTTCTCTTTTGAATAATCAGTCATACATTGTACTTTAATTGGACACACAGTTGACTCAAGTTTATGTAATGTTTAATTCATTGTTTTATCCTGCATTCTGATTTATTTCTTTGATAGAAATTATTTTTAAGATGTGTGCAATAAAGTTGAGGCAATGTGTGTGTGTATGAAGCAGAGGTGTGTTAAGTGGTCTAATTCCACAATTGTTTTATTTAGGAAAACTACGAATTTGCTCAAAAAGATTTTGAACAACTGGCCAATGAATTGTACCATGGAAGACCTGTACCTGCTCCGTTTCTCTTATTTTGCACGCCAACAAAGACCAGCCATGCTTCTAACGGCAAACTTGCTATTGCTTTACCTTATGGGGTAATGTTCATTTTGTTAATGAGAACTAGATGAATGATTGTATGTGAGGATTCAGAAGAAATGTATCAGGAGTTTTATAGATTGCAAATATCTAAAGTTCTTTGGTATCATAGCAAAAATATTTCATAGGGTGCAATGAGAGAAAAAATGCCAAGGAAAGCAAGTCAGTTTTAGAAATGTGTGTTCATCACAAAGGTCATTGCAAATTCCTCAGAAATTTCCACATTTGGTGTGTAATGTACTACTAATGTCTATCTTCATGGATTGTACTGTAACTGAAGTAATGATGGAACTTAAGAAAGGACATTTGGTGGAATTGACTCCAGTCTTTTAAAGGATCTTTTCTGGAAAATTTATTGGTAAGTTTACTTTTGTATTAAAAAACATCTTAAATTTTTAATGCTGTTCAAAAAAAATTAATAATTTGTGTTTGTTGGCAGATCTTAATATATTGACCCCCATCAGATGAGCAAACTTCATTTATGTATTTGTACTTCATTTATCTGGTAGTGAAAAGTCTCAAGTGTTCCTGTGGTAAGCAGAGAAGACTATAGTTTAATTTGCCCATCTTGAAATGAAAAAGGAAACTTGTCAAATTTGTTTCCTTTATTATGACTTTTGTAAAAATGTTTTTCCTTTCATTGGTTGAGTTGTCTCAAGTTTGAAAACCAGTACCGTTAGGTTTTAAAAATTTTAATGGAGAGAAAAGCATTGTTTATGGAAAATTTTGGATCCATTTTTTTAAACAAATTGATAGAAGCTCATTATAACCCAAGGCTCCAATTTGTGGTATAGAAGGATTGGAGTGAATGATAAAATCTTTCTTTGTGATTTATCTGAGTTTGAAACAATGCATTGCAATGTATTTGGTTTTGGTAACAAAGAAATGTGATGTATCTAGTTGTAGTGTTGATAGCAGATGACTCAATTCATGATTTATACTGTAATCAGTCATCAAATTAAGCAGTATTTTAATCTGTACCAAAATAATTTGTGCTTGATAATTATTCTGGGCATGTGTTCAGTTCTTTGTTACTGTGTCTGTCTCGTCACATTACGTGCATTCATTTCACAACAATAACTTAAGAATTAAATCTGTAACACAGCTAGTTTACTTTTCACTTGTAAGTTGATTTGTAAATCCCTTGTACAGGTGGTAGTAGCAGCATTGCCGCTTAGTGTGAATTGAAAGCCTGCTGGACTTTGCAGCTGTTCCACGAGACAAATTATTAAGCACAAAACTGTTTTGGAAGAGGTATAATGGCAGCATATGTATAACACATATTTGAAGTTCAAATTTTATAGTATAATAACATTTTGAATTTTGTTGCAATGTAAAAATATACAATCTGTGCATTTTTAAGGTCTTTTATGAATAGAACTTGTCCATCTACTATATATTTCTTTCCATTTTTTTATGAATAGAAGAACATGTCAAAAACTGGCTAAGTAATAATATGTTGATCTACCAAAACATATTTTGTATTGCAAATGGATAATTTATGGTAGTTCATCTAGGTAAAAACAGGATTTTCATGATCTACGAGGTTCTGAAGTATTCATTCAAATATGCGCATTTAATATTATATCACCCAAATGTGTTTGATTAACAGTAAAAATGAATGACATAAGCATTATCGAATTTTAGGACTTGCATTTAAAAAGTTATAAAACATCATGGTAAAACTTGTTACTTGAGCCTGGAAGTTCTGGCATTTATAGGCAGGCAAAAGGACATACATTTTTACTAAAATAGGCATGAGAAAAGGAATTTATTATTGCTAGTGTAGGGTTGCCAAAAAGCATGTAAACAATGAAAAATCACTGATACCAACTAAGGAATAATTAAAATGATTAACATTTTCTTCTTATTTTCAGACTTACTCTAAAATTTACATTAGTTCTTAACGTGTAAGGAAAAGTTCTTTTCTTTGTAATCTTGATACCACATTGCCATCCAGTATGATGGCTGCGAATTCGTGTGAAAAAAATGTGTGAAAATGTGTCGAAATGTGTGAAAAAAGATTTATTTCTCTAACACACAGACTAATTGCTCAAAATATAATTCCGGGCATTAGTATACAAGTCTAGAAGTCATTGAAAATAAAAATAACAGTAATTCCCTAGCAAACTTCTTAAAATGAGATGAAGACAAAGTAGTGGTGGGTATCTATTGTTGTTGCTCAATCTTGATAGTCGGAGAGTAAAATCCAGATGTCCTTTAAGCTCTTACATCAAAGATAGGTGATCCTGAAACCTGTAAGTGGGAGCATTAGAAATAAATAAATTCCTCAAAACCCTACAAGCTGTATTACCATTAACTATTTGTATAGCATTCTGGCATCACCACTAGTTCTCTGCTATTCCAAATGTCTCAAATTAGTCAGTTTAGTAATTTCATAGTTATTATGGTCCAATGTAAAGTTGGTTTACATGCAACATATTTAAAAAATCTTTTATGTTGAACTCTTTCTATTTGCTGGTCAGTTAGAATTATGAGGATTTCATATTGTAGAAGCTTACATTAAAACTGGTTTAATGAGAGTTACATAAAGTGTCATAATGCTTTTAATATCCTTAAATTCATTAGTGTCTTTTTACAAATTTAAGCAATTTGAGAGTATGGTTGACTGTAGTCTACTTCATGCAAGTGAAACATTAGGTTAGGGTAAAAATGACACTGAGTTCCTTTACACTTTCAGAAGCTTACAACCTTACACTTTTTAATATTGAAAATTATACAATTGTCAGGACACCACTGAGCAACCTCATCAATAGTCTTTTAGTTTTATGCAGTATTAGAAATATCATTGGGTCCTAGTGAAGAGTTATCACTATTATACTGTAATAAGTAATTCATCCATTTGGAATTTCTGGTTATAAAAAAGATCTTTAATTTTCTTCAGCTGGGACAATGTGAAGTTTGAGAAATATTGCACTTGGTTGATGTCTTGTTTAAGAAATTGGTTTCATAGTGGTAGTTATTTGAGTTACTAGCAAACCTACCAGCGAGTAAATTGCTGATGTCTTGTGGGCCAAAATAATTACCAACAATATCATCTGTAAGCATTTAATAGCTTTTATTTTATTCTTTCCATAAGCAGTTCACTTTCTTCTTGTGGTAACCAATAGTCTATTGGGTTATGGGTTGTGATGATGACCATGATACGTGGTGTGGTTTCTTTAGCGGAATGTTTCTGATCCACTCATAAATTTTTTCCTTCTAAAAACAATTTCCATTGACAAATATTGTCCAGAGCTATTGTAGGTTCCTCAAACAATGTGCAGCTTGAAGTTGGTAAGTCATCCAAGTTGAAGTTACTCCTACCTTTGGTACGGTCAATTATTGTCAGTTGTAGGGGATCTGTTAATAGAGTTGCTATCATTGATTTTACTGTTTTAGTTGGCCCTTTTAAAACAAAGGAATTTTTCTTTTGAAAGTATATACTTTGAATTAAAAGGAAATGGGCATAGAATTCATAAATGTTTATTCTATTACTATTGAATAAATATTGCAAATATTTGATATTTTGAATATTAATATCTTGAAGGTTAATATTGTCTAATATAATGTCAAAATAATTTGTTTTTCGTAGTGTCTCCTTTAAATGAGCATTATCTATTTAACATATGGAAATAATGATAGCTTTAATCATTCATCCGTAATCAGAAATCAATTGAATAATTACTGGGTTAGGTATTTTTTTTAAAAAATCTGAGTAAGAATCAAAATTATATTGTTCTTTTAAATCCATTATATTTTGTATTAAATAATTTCTATTTGATTTCATGAGAAGCTGAGTTTTTTGCTTTTTTACTTTGTCTTGACTTTCCAGTATGTTTCACATTGTTCAATATTTATCGAAATGTCAATATCGTATGTTTTGTAATTTTGAGCCTTTTTATAGCTTGTATTTCTAGCCTTTGTATAGATGGGTGATTGTTAAGCCATCGTCGCATACCGTAACGGACGAGATATAAAATAAATCGTCAAATGTGTCGTATTCGTTGTACCGTCGTCTTAGCCTCTTGCAGTTCGCAGTGAGTGATTGATAGGATTCTGTCAAGCACAATCGATCACTATTATTCTCTGTTGATTCGTATAAGAAGTGGATGTGTCCTGGATGCTCCGCGATGGCGAATGTACACTGCTTCTGTCTTGGTGTTTCTGTGATGTATTTGTTGTAGATGGTTCTGATATTTCTCATGGTGTGGATGACGAACGTATAGAAGGACTTATCGGAGGGTGTGTTTGTTCCGAAGATTTTTTTTTACCGTTTTGGCGTTTGAAGTAAATGTGAAGACGTCTGGCGTTTTTGGTGTGGAGGTGGTGTCAATTTATATAATTTCAGAGATAGGAGAATTGTTGTGGGGTGATTCCAAGGACATTGATTCTCCGTCAATATCATCGGGTTGTATTTTTCGTTTTCTGTTGCTCTGTTGACTGTCATTTGAAGCAGTGTTGATAGCACATGTATCTGATATTGGTATACCGTACTCTTTGATTTCGTGCTTTGTGTTATTAAATCTGTCGGCATGATCTGAGGCCATAGTTCTGGTAGGGTTGTTGCTAACAATTGACGTAGGAGTCTCGATGATACATTTGTTACACATAAGTGAATTTGACAATCGTGTCCTTTGTTCTTGAGTAATTGTACTGTTCTGTCTATTGTTGCTACAGGATCCGGATATTCCGAATACGAGGGTGGTCCCAGAAGTACCCGACCCAACAAAGAAAAAACAAAAATTTTGGAAAAAAATATGTTCATTTTTCAACATAATCTCCTTTGAGCTCTATACACTTTAACCAGCGATGTTCAATAAGTGCGATACCCTTTGTATAATAAGAACTGTCTTGCTCCTCAAAATAGCCACGAACTACCGACATCACTTCTTCATTTTTTGGAAAATCTTT